GGATGGTCATGAAGATGGGCCCGAAGTCTGACCCCTGGTTGGTGAAGATGTAGAAAGCGACGCTGGCGTAGGGGACCCAGCAAATCAGGAAGGCGATGACCATGATGATGACCATGCGGGTCACTTCTTTCTCTGCCTTCTGGGTGGTGGCAGACTCCTGCTGCTGGGCAGCAGCCTGTGGGCAAAACGAAATGGAAACGTGATGGAGCTGGGGAGGGCTGCGCCGGCATGGGGCGCGGGGTCAGGGCTTGGGGTAGTTGAGCTGCACGTCTGGAGTTTGCTATTTTCCCCTTCGTGGAGGGCCGGCCTGGCCCCAAGGGCCCTTTCTGTCACCAGTCCCTTCCCAGCACTGGGGACGTGATGGAGCTGGGGAGGGCTGCGCCGGCATGGGGCGCGGGGTCAGGGCTTGGGGTAGTTGAGCTGCACGTCTGGAGTTTGCTATTTTCCCCTTCGTGGAGGGCCGGCCTGGCCCCAAGGGCCCTTTCTGTCACCAGTCCCTTCCCAGCACTGGGGACGCGGGTGGCACCCAGTACCCACCTCCTTGACAGTGCAGACCAGGTTCCCATAGCAGAAGAAAATTACTGCCAGCGGGATCAAGAAGTGAACCACAAACATGTAGATGACAAAAGATTCGTTGTTGACCTCTGGCTTCAGAGTGTAATAGTCGATCCCGCACGAGCACTGCATGCCCTCGGGGATGTACCTGCAAGGTGAGCCAGGCAGGTCAGCGCCCAGCAGAGGAGACCAGCTGGAAGCCACAGCCGAGCCGCCACCAGCCAGGCCCCCGCCCCCAGGCGCCGGGCACAGCGCCCTCCCTACCTGGACCAGCCAAACAGCGGGGGAGCTGCGCACGCCATGGCCATGATCCAGGAGAAGGCAACGCCCATGATGGCATGGTTCTCCCCGAAGCGGAAGTTGCTCATGGGCTTGCAGACCACTACGTATCTTTCGATAGCCAGGACAACCAGCGACCAGAGAGCAATTTCACCTGCACCAGGGAGAGAGAGGGGACACAGGGACTTTGAGCAACAGGAGGAGAAAATCGTGCTGATGGCAGCACGAGGCCTCCTCGGACTGTTGTTCCCAAGGAAGACCCCTGGCAGCAGGTAAATCTCCACCAAGGGTTTGGAAAGAGAAATGAACAAAGGCCGAGTGCAGATGCAGTAGGAAGGCATGAGAAGACACCTCCTCACTGCACTGCTGACCCACAGTAACCACTTTGCTGCTGTGTTTTGAGATCCATGGCTGGATCCTACCACTCATCCTGGACAGCACCTGTATCTGCAAGCCTACGGTCCCACTCTGAGATGCAGGGAGTGCCCATCATCCCAGGATTTCCCCTTGCTACCCACAGCTTCCCAGGAAACTTGTGCCACAAGGACCAAACCAGTAAAACAGTTGCCTGTGGCTGATGGCTGAGCTGAACGGAGGACGGCATTTTTAGACACACAATTTTTATGTAACATCTGTTTCGGTCAAAGCCTGGCTGGCACGGGGAGGAGAGCCAGCTTTGCTAGCCTGTGCCGCCATGCACCACATCAGAGCGAATGACAGACTCAGCCCCACGAAAACAGGAAGAACAAATCTGTCATCTCTCAAGTCAGAAAGCAAGCCAAAAAGACGTGCAAATCCAACAACTGCAAAATCTGCTACTGGTTGCTTTTCATTGCTGCACTGTTGTTCTCAGGATACTGAGCAGGTGGCTACCAAAATAAGGTCAAAAAAAAAAAGTGTCATTTGTCACTTTCTTCACCTCCCACCCTGAAACACTTCAACTGCCTCGGCCCACATCAGCAGCAGACCAAGGACCTTCCAGATACCATGTTTTTCCAAGATCATCTGGGCGTCCTCCCTCCCCTTCCTAAAATCTGGGGCAATTCCTGGCAGAGGATTTTTGAATATTTGGAAAACTTACCGCCCAGCGTAGCAAAGAAGCCTTCGATGTAGCACCCTGTTACTCCAAAGACAAAGTACCCATTCATCGAAGTGTACATGGTGGTCGTGAAGCCTCCAAAGACCATGAAGAGGTCGGCAACCGCCAGGTTCAGAAGGATGTAGTTTAGAGGCGTCCGGAGCTTCTTGTGCTGGATGGTGACGTACAGCGTGAGGAAGTTGACGGGGAAGCCAAGCAGGATCAGCATGAACATGTAGGCAGCAAGTGCCGAGAACTTCCAGGGCTCAGCCAGGTAGTACTGGGGGTACTCGAAGGGGCTCCGTACCACCCCAGTCTTGTTGGACATGGGCACGTAGAAATCTTGGCCTTCTGTCCCGTTCATGGTTGCGGTTCGTGAGGTGCCTTTTGCTCTTGCTCAGGGGTGTTTTTTGAGCGTGGGGGGATCGCCTCTGAAGGGGGGCTCCCGCCACCTCTCAGCCTGCGCCGTCACCCTGAGGAGAAGTGGCTACGCTCACCTCCGCAGGGCGCCCCTTATAAAGTGCCCCCTGGGGTAAGCTCCAGGCATTGGTGTCAGCGCGATTAGGGCTTACAGAGTTATTAATCATAATCATCCAGGGGTAATTGGCTTTCCTGGGAAAGTATTAAGGTGACACCTGTTTCTGGCCCACACTGTCATTGTTGGAGACCATGGCTCATCGTCGTATATAAAGAGGTAGCTCTGCACCGCACCGTTCATTTGTGGGGGCCCAAACCAAACGGCAGCTCCACTCGCACAGCCTCACTCCTCAGCATGGCTGTGCTCCCCAGGGAGCGAGGGTTTGGGGTGGGCCCTGCACCCATGGCAGTCTTTGCACCCCACGATCCAGAGCTGGACATCCACAGCTCATGCTGCCGTCGCCCAGGGGGAGGCACTTGCCCCCCCTGTCCCCAGTCCTCCCTCCATGGGCATTCAGGGGTGCACTGCCCATCCGTGTGAGATGCCTCAGTTTCCCCACAGAGAGGTACCAGGAATGGGATGCACTACCATCGGGTTGCCAGGGGGAGGGTGCCAGGGAAAGACAAGGCACACGGGGATCCTTCTCTTGGCCGCACTTTCTCAAGGCTCCCAGACTGAGCTTTCGGCTCTCACCAACAAACAAGCTCCTTTCCGTTCCCCGCTAACAGGAGGGAAGTTTGTGGTTCAAAACCCCATGACTCTGGGTTTGGGGGCTGCAGATGATCGCTGGGCTGGGCAGGTGTGGTGTGGTGTGGTCCATCAGTGATAGAGGGGTGTCCTAGGCCCGTTCCTACAAGGGGAAAGCGGGTCCATGACACCAGCTAATCCCCACTGGAGAGCCGTCCCCACGATAACTGTCATTCCCTGTGGGAGGCTGCAGAAGGGTGCTCTCAGGCAGCAAAAGCATCACCAACCCTTCTTCCACATGCTCTCAGCCACCTCTTTGTCTGCTACAGGATTTGGCTGGGGAGGTTTGAACACCACAGTGAAACACTGACCCCGCTGGCAGGTTTCCAGTTGTACCATCTCCTCTGTGCCTGGCTTTGTATGTGGTTTGGGTCATGCCAATTACATTGGTAACACCTAATAAATAACCTAGTCCATCTGTCCTGGACGGGTGCTGAGAAGGCTGCTGGACAAGGGCACTGAAGAGAAGTTTCGAGCTGAAGCCAACACTCAACTTCGTATGACAGACATCTTCGGTCTCCCCAAAACCTTGCAGAATTGTCAAATTCCCCAGGGAAAGCCATCGTTGGAGCCTCCCACGTCCTCCGTGTCTCTCTGCCTCCCCACTCAATGCACTCAATTGTGCTTGAAACGTTCTTTGTGCCAACCTGCAACTGAGTTAGACATTAATTTTTCAGAGGCAATGGGACAACACGTACAGCAGAATGAGCCAATGAAGCCAACCGCAGAGGATCTCTCTTCTGGAGAAGGTGGTTCCTTACAGTTCACACCATCATGATTAATCTTTTAAGCTCCGAAGCTATTTTCCCTCTCTCTTCTCTTTTTTTCCACCCACTGTTTATCACCTTGCTCATTAGCAGTCAGTAACATTCCAGCTGGCAGGCAGGTACCAGCTGGTTCCCCTGCAGAGGCTAGGCAAGGACTGTCTGCTGGGCCCCTTGGTAGGGGACAGAGGCTGGAGGGGACCTGAGCACCTCCCCTTGCTGTTTTGGCTGCAGTGGGGGGCTGAGCTGAGCGTTCCTTGCAGCCAGGAGCAGAGGAGTGGGTAACTGTGAGCACCTCGTCGAGCACAGGAGGATGTGCCAGAGCTGCTGGAGCTCGCGGGTGCGAGGTAGGCAGAAGCTCACGTCCTCTTGGCCTTAATAAACTTCTTTCAGTCCTGACCTAGTTTTTACCAGTGTTCCCCGTGGGTTAGTTTAGCACATGCAAAAAGTTTAAAGGCAAAACCACAAAGCTCTGTGCTCTCTTTAAAGAAGAGACCAAGCTGGGAAACCTTCACTCTAAGTGGGGAAGGTCTAAAGGAGCTGAAGTGCTGGCACCGCGGACAAAGGAAGACCTGGCTGGCTGTAACCAAAGGCAGGCCACGATCACTCTGGACAGTCCCAAATGTCTTCCTTCACATTAACGTGAAAATACCACGTCCTCACACACACTCCACTCATCCTAAGTCCCTCTCAATTAACTTTTCACACGTGTTGCCAAGGCCAGAGCAGTGCTACTATCTAATTGCAAATGCAGCTGTTCATAGTTGTACCTGGGCATACAAGAAGGATTAAAGGTTTATCTTCCCAGTACAAAAATATGCCACCTTAAGCTCTGATGCAATAAGCCACTGCTGAGGTTAGCAGCTGCTGCTCAGAGCTTAGGGCCTGGCGTGCATCACCACTGGAGTATAGCAGTGGGACAGGCAAGCAGAAATGAGGTACAACAGGGCAAATGGAAGAAAACAGTTTGCCAACCACTCACAATAGCTTCAGACAAAAGCGCCATGGTGGGACTTCTTGTATGTCCAGGGACTCCTTATCATGAAGTTCCCTGACAGTTTCAATGGCACGGGGCAGTCTGGAACTAGAACATCTTCACAATGTATGGGATGTGTCAAGTATGTTACACTTTTCAAACCTAGACTGTATTCAGACTTGTTTAAAAAAAGAAAAAAAAGCTTCCTTGCTTCATCCATTTTGTCTCTGTGTCACGGCAAACCCCATCTATTTATTTTTGAAAATTTTCAGTCCCACCAGCTCTGCAAAGCCAGCTCAGTTCCGGGAGAACGAGCCGAATTCCATTCTGGCTCACATCTCAAACAGCATTGTTTATCCATGTCAATGGCAAAGTCTTCATTGCAAACAGTAACAGATGAGTCAAAAAGCAGACGAGTGATAATTAGAACAGAATGTTTTTGAAGTGGTAAATTAAGCAAACTTGGTCAGGAACCATTGAGGGACTCGGAAACCCTGTAGTGCCATTGCAGTGTCACTTTCAAGAGGAACTCAAGCAGACGTGGAGACTAGTTTCACGTGCAAAGTGCCGTTTACATGGCAGCTGCTTTACCAGCACCCAACAACCTCAGCCAATAGCTTAAGACAGCAAAATAGGGTATCTTTTCCCACTCAAAACAAAGGGAGGCTGTGACAGACAGGATGTGAAAACAACAATAGAACTGACAGTAACATGGGCACAATTTATACTGGATTAAAGCCAAGAGACCTATCCCTTCCCAGCTCAAATCCAGCTCAGCTAGTTACCTACGCAAATTCTCCCGCTGTTGGAGAACTACTCAGTGACCGTCCTCAGGACATTCAACTACCCGGGAGTACGATGGTCGGCTGGGTCTGGCTGGGATGGAGTTAACTTTCCTCAGAGCAGCTGTGTGGTGCTGTGGTCTGGATTTGTGTCTAAACCACTGCTGATAACACACCATGGTTGTAGCTATAGCTGAGCAGTGCTGGCACAGCCCTGAGGTTTTCTTTTTCCCCATTCTGTCCCCCAGCTATAGGCCAGAGGTGGCCAAGAAATAGGGAAGGGAGAGAGCTAGGACAGCTGGCCAAAGGGGTATTCCACACTAGATGATGTCATGCTCAGAAATAAAAGCTCAGGGAAAGGAGGAAGCAGGGAGGATGTTGTGTTCGTTGTGTTTGCCTTCCCAGGTAACCGTTACTCAAGCTGAGGTCCTGTTCTCCAAAGAGCAGGCTGGACATCTGCCTGCCACTGGGAAGCAGTGAATAAATTCCTTATTGCTTTGCTTGCATGCACAGCTTTGCCTCACTTATTAAACTGTCTTTATGGCAGCCCATGAGCTTTTTTGCTTTTGCTCTTCTGATTTTCTCCCCAGTCCTGCAGGGAGGGGGGTAGCGAGCAAACTACTGCATTGGGGGGGTCAGTTGCTGCCTGGGACTGACCCACAATATCAGCTGCATCATTAAAGTCCCCTCAGCAAGAGGCTGAAGGCGGCGGCGGCAGGTCCATCTCCTCTCACCTCTACACGTTGTTTGCCCATAGCTCTGGACTGAAACAATGCTGGGGAAATAGTGTTCAGACATACCGCTTTAGCAGAACACTCCACCGGTCAGCACGACGGCCAAGGGATCCGCACGAGCTCAGGCAGGCGTGTGCACCCACACCACAAAGGTACGCTCAGATCACAAACGCCACAAGAATTGACAGGATGCCAGGAGTCGTGGGAACTATCCTGTGATTCAGTACCACAGCATGTGACCTCACTTACGATTTTCTCAGCAGACAATGAAGAACTCTCCTATCTTGGGTACAGAGGAGGTGCTGTGGGAAACCACTGGCTGACCATGAGCCCTCAGCTGCTTTGGTATTCCTGCCTGGCACCCTGACATATTTATAAGCGTGCAAATATATTCAGTTTAGCCCATCAGGTCAGCGGTGTTTCTTTCACTAGTAGTAAACAGGCTACTGTTACTAGGATTACATATGTGGCAGCAGGCAGTTGAGGTACTTATGACTGGGAAGCTTGGCTAGCATGAAATGCATACTTCCATGCACAACCTGGCATTTTGCATTTTAACAAGGGTGAATTCTGCACAGATTAAAAGCTTCGACCCCTCTCCACTCAGTGTGGCTGTGAGATGGTCCCCGATGCCAAGATCGGTGTAACTCTTAAGATCACACTTCAAGAGCTCTGAACTCTAATGGTGTTCTTCCCTAAATAGAATAATAAAAAAGAAAAGCTCAGAAGCAGCAGCATTCTAGCAAATTCCAAGAGAAAGCGTTGTGAAAAATAGTCCCATTTATTTGAAGATCTGTCAATAACGGGTACATATTAAGGAGCAAATCAAGTCCTAACACAAGTTGGAATAAAACCAACAATTACTTCAAGGCTGAACTTGACCCTAGAAACATTCCTGTAAAAATCTGTGGCACTTCAGCTGCTTGCCTGGGAAATGTAGAGGACATTCACAAACAACAGACATTTTCTTTTAAAAAAAAAAAAAGTTACATTTCTTCAACTCAGTTCCACTCTTAAGTACAAAATGAAACAAGATGACTTAACTAAGTTGTTAGGAAAACTCTATGAATCTAAGAAGTGTTTTGCCAAGCCAATAGGGAAGTCTGTCAGTTGAGGTATAAGA